GCAGAGATATGCACAAATTGAAAAAGAATGCTTAGCTGTGGTGTTCGGCTGTGAACGCTTTGATCAATACGTGTACGGTCGTGAGCTGATCAATGTACAAACCGATCATAAGCCACTTGAGACTATCTTCAAGAAATCTCTTCTCTCTTCTCCCAGAAGGCTACAGAGAATGACACTACGTCTGCAAAAGTACCACCTTGATGTCCGCTACAAGAAGGGCACAGAGATGTACATTGCAGATTTCATGTCGCGAGCCTCACTTCCACTCAGGAAGATAGAGCCGACTTTGAAAGACTATGAAATCTTTGCTGTTTCGGAGGACACTTCCTTCATCAGCGAACTGGAGAATATTAACGCTGCAGAATGTATCACTGTCACAGATCAGCGTCTCGATCAAATTCAGCGTCTCACTCATCAAGACGTCAATCTCCAGACTCTCAAGTCCACCATCTTAGCCGGCTGGCCAGAACAACGTGAGGACACTCCAGTGTGTGTCAGAGACTACTGGACATTCCGAGAGGAGCTGAGTGCTCAGAATGGTGTTCTCTTCAAAGCATCACGAATTGTGATTCCGCCAGCAATGCAATGTGAAATGCTTCAGAGCCTTCATGGAAGCCATCTTGGAGCGGAAGCATGCATCCGAAGGGCACGTAATGTTGTATATTGGCCAAACATGACTGTAGACATTAAAGACCATGTTGGTCAATGCACAGTGTGTTCAGAAATGAGGCCCAAACAGCAGAAGGAAACCTTAGTGTCACATGAAGTGCCTGAACGTCCGTGGAGTAAGATTGGTGTGGATCTTTTCACCCTACATAATGAGGAATATCTTGTTCAAGTAGACTATCATTCAGACTACTGGGAAGTTGACAAGCTGACAGACACAACTTCCACATCTATTGTTGAGTGTATGAAGGCACAGTTTAGCAGACATGGCATACCAGATACCATAGTGTCGGATAACGGTCCACAACTCACATCACGAGAGTTTGCTCAGTTTGCCAAAGACTGGGAATTCAGCCATGTCACAACATCGCCTTGTCACAGTCAGTCAAACGGCAAGGCCGAATCAGCTGTAAAGATTGCAAAGAAGCTGATCAAAAAGTCACAAAGAGAAGGCAAAGACCCATGGAAAGCAATCTTGGAATGGCGTAATACCCCTACTGAAGGTATGGACAGTAGCCCTGTACAAAGAATTAAGTCGCGTCGAACACGCACAACTCTCCCAGTTGCTACACAACTTCTGAAACCTGAACTTGTTGACAGTGTCAGTGCCAAGAAAGCCCTCAAGCACAGAAAGGCTAAACTCTATTACGACAGTCATGCTAAGGAGCTACCTGAACTCACAGTTAGTCAACCAGTACGTGTTCAACCAGTGCCTTCAGACACAACGGGTAAATGGCGTCACGGGACTTGCGTCAGACAAGTGTCGACAAGGTCATACATTGTTGACATTGATGGTAAAGAGTACAGGCGCAATCGCAAGTTTCTTAGATCAACTTCTGAAACTACACCACCAAAACAGTTGCCGGAAGTTACCAGTGAGATTGAACCAGATTCTCACATAACAGCGAAAAAGACAACTGCTACCAAGACATCGTCTGTTGTGAAACCACCTCCTTCATCGCCACCAGTACCAGCCTCTCTAGAGTTTCCTAAGGAAAACATCAAGACCACCAGGACAAGAGCAGTCAAACCACCAACCAGACTGAAAGACTTTGTTACCAACTAATTGTGCCAAGGAATGAGCACGATTTGTGAACTGTTTCATTTTGACTTCAAACGCAAAAAAGAGCATTGTGTTTTAATTTCTTTGTTGTGTTCTCAGTATGGTATTTTGTCTATAGGAATTTCAGAGACATTCCACAGAGACTTTACTTATTTAACATGTTAAGTTTTATAAAGCAGTTTGAATATTTTAAAGAGACTAATCTGTACATTATTCTCAACCTATCTGCCACAATATACCACTATTTTAATATTACTTAACTTTTGGAAGAAAAGGGGGATGTTACGAGAGTAATCCTTTTCCGTCATAACTGCACACATTCTTACTTTTGTATGTAACCCTGATGCGTTCTACGTCATTAAAATAGTATACCAACAGATATGACGTCAACCTAGCAACAAAGTGGCAGAGTCGTCGACTGTGCATGATAAGCCCGTCTCAGTGAGCTATCATCTCCACATGCCATCGCCACACCAGTCAGTGTCCTGTCAGGACACAGGTAGCAGGCCATCCGTGCCTTTGCACCACAGCACCTATGAAGAAGTTAGTCTCTCACGATCAAACGGCCAGCCATCTCTCCCGAAAGAACGCTTTCATCCTTTGCTTAGACAACCCTCAAACCCAAACAAAGAACCCACCTCCTCCTCCCTCCCTCCCTCCCTCCCTCCACCACCTTTTTTCTATTTTTAGAACAACAATGTCGATCTTGTTCACCTTTTACGACCGCTTCTCTGGGTTTTCCCCTTCTCTCCCTCCCTACCCCCCCCCCCCCCCCCCCCCCCCGGAAACGGATGCGACGCCCTCTTGGAGGTGCGCACGCCACCGGAAACGGATGTGACGCCCTCTTTGATGCGCACGCCATGGGAAACGGATGTGACGCCCTCTTGGAGGCGCACGCCACCGGAAACGGATTTGACTCCATCTTGGATGCACACGCCAACGGAAACGGATGTGCCGCCATCTTGGATGCGCACCGGAAGTGACATCATCAGAGGTCACGTGATTCTCTCGACCAATCAGAAGCCAGGAGCGGAACTAGACCGATGCCATCAACTACTGTCGCTTCTAAGGACATTGTTGATAAAATATACTGAACGACAAAAGTTCCCCTGACATTGAATAAGATTTAATGCAAAGTTTTTTACCAAATCTGAAACAATTTCGGTTTGCAACAGATAAAAGATTCCTGTAAGTGTTCAAATGATTGAATTTGCCATACTGACTTCAGAAAATGCGTGATTCATAAAAAAACATGAGCATGCCAAAATGTCAATTTACAAAGCAATAGCGTGTGTGTCCACCTCTGGTTGCGATGCAAGCAACACATCTTCGTCTCATGGAATTGGCCAGGCGTCGCACAAAGTCCTGTGGGATATCTGTCCATATCTGCTGGAGCATGTTTCGAAGTTCCTGGAGTGTCTGTAGAACACGTGGTTGACGTCGAAGGCGCCGATCCATCTCATCCCACATGTGCTCGATTGGTGAGAGATCAGGGGAGCGAGCCGGCCAGGGGGTGAAATTCACGTTGTTTTGTTAAAGAGAATCCTGAACCAGCAGAGCAATATGAGGCCGGACGGTGTCATGATGAAAGGTAATGCCTGGGCCATGACGACGCAAAAACGGTAGAACAACAGGGCCGATGATCTCGTCGCGGTAGCGCTGTCCATTGAGATTTCCCTCTACCACTATCAAACGGGTCCTCTGACTTGCTGCAATCCCACCCCATACCATTACGCTGCCGCCTCCGAACCGATCTTCTTACATGACACAATGATTGACGTAACGTTCACCTCGACGTCGGAACACTCGAATCCGTCCATCGCTGTGGCTGAGGTGAAAACGAGACTCGTCAGTGAATAGAACTTGTCCCCACTGCATGGTCGTCCAGCGTAGACGCTGTCTGCACCACTGTAGACGTGCTTGACGGTGGTTTCCTGTCAAAATGGGACGTCTGGCGGGTCTTCTGGCGACAATCCCTGCACATCTGAGGCGGCGACGTACGGTTTGTGAAGATATTCGTCGAAGGCCAGGGATGTATCTTGCAGTCACTGTTGCTGGCTGGAATCGATTTCGTATATGTGTTGTTCGAATCCAGTTGTCTTGTCGATTATTGATTACGCGTGGCCTGCCACTCCGAGGATGGTCTCTGACTGCATTCGTCTGTTGCCAACGTTGCCATAAACACCAAATGGTGTTTCTGTGGACGTTAAATCGTCTTGCAACATCACGTTGACTCGATCCTGCTTCAAGCATACCAATAGCTCGCAGACGCTCATTTTCGGACAGGCGTGGCATTTCGTAATGCTGAATAATGATATGCGTAATTTTGTTGTTTTTCTGAGTGGATGTTGTCAGCACGATGCTAAACAATGCACATGGAATCCCGTTAACGCACACGTTTTTATACCCATTCTTGGGTAGTGAACTGCATGGGGCTTGCATAAAAGTCAACTTTTCTGTAGCTGTTGGATTCCTGATCAGAAACGTCCCAGGTCCATCATCTCTGTGAGAATGTACGTCGTTTTGACAAAGCACCTGTGCACAAGCCTGTTACCATGGATGCAATGCATGACTGTGGCTTTGAACTCATTGAAACTCCGTATTCACCAGATTTTGCACCGTCAGATTTCCACCGCTTGACAAACTTGAAGAAAGAACTGTCTTGCAAGCATTATGCAAATGAGGATGACGTCATTTCAGTGCAGGATAACAACATCAGGAAGAAGTGGGATCCAGGCACTTCAGCATCTTTGGCAGAAGTGTGTGGACTTCGGAGAGATTATGTTAAAAATAATAAGCAATCAAATCCGTGAACGCAGACAATCACATTTAGCTTCAGCCATCGCGAACGGTCATAACACCGATGACAACCCATGCTTGCCGTAAAAGGCGACTATGCTTGTCGTAAGAGGCGACTAACGGGATCGGGTGGTCAGGATCGCTGACTTGGTTGATGCATGTCATCGTATTCCAATTGCATGGATCGATGCTCAGGATGTTAATCACTGGATTGTCTGGTCCAGACTCGATTATTTGCAGACCGCCGCCATATAGCTGGAAATTTGCTAAGTGCGACGTTAAACAACAAACCAAACCAAACCAAAACAATAACACCGATGGAGTCTTCGACAACGCTGCTTCATGTATGGTTTTGTATACGTGTGCATCTTTCTACAGATATTGCCAATGATGAAACACGAGTACTGAATACTATTTAATTTCTGGCCAGGATTCCACTCAAATGTCGTTTCCATGTGATTATAAGACTTACCGCTTTTTGCTAGGCTGTTCTTCAGCTTAACCCTGGTTCGTGCTGTGCCTGTTTTAGCATGGATGATGTCACGTGACATACCGACACGACGCTTCCGACGTCGACTGTTGCTTGTCGTCATGTTGCAACCATTGCTTGTCTGGTCAGAGAAACAAAGATATTTTGTTTTTAAATACGAAATACGAATTTATCTGAGTAAATATTTTTTATATTTTTTTTAATGTTTTTGAAACATGCAAAGACACTGAAGGGCTTCGTTGTTATAATCACATACGTTTGCACACTAATTGAAAACGTGATGCTGCCAGGGATACGTGTTGTTGTTGTGACTAGTATACACACATGACATAGTGTTATATGGCAGTAGAGATTTTGTAAGTTTGGGACAACTTCTTGAAGGCTGGCTGTACATATTAGGAGCGAGTAGTGTCTTGCGGATTGGATACCAATCGGAAAACCTCGAATTCCTGCCAACTTCCAACACGATTTCGGGCTACAGATCAGATGCCTGTTTCAAGACATTCGACAGTGAAACATCCTGCCCAGTCGTGAGTGCACTGACATATAGTGTAGGGACTGCTCACTGCTGCTGCTGCCACGTATTTGACCCACTGTGTTGTCTTTTGTGATTGTTAAACCAAAACTGTGTTTCAATATAATGAAAATTGATTATTCATTGATCTTGTGGGCCCAGATACTGATTTCACCATTTCTGGGTTAACCTCCGCGTTTCAATTTGGTAATCACCTCGTAACGCAGCAAACGAAGTTTGTGAGTGAGTGATGTTTAGCACTGTAGTCAGTAATATATGTGCAAATTGGCGCGATCGGGGCACGATGCCACACATTGAGTCGACTCTTACGCTACCGTGGCCTGTTGTTCCGTCATTCTGTCATCTCCGCTCAGCAAGTTGTCCTCCCAATCTAAGACAGTGGAGTGAGTGAGTGAATATGGTTTTACGCCGCTTTTAGCTATATCACGGCGGAGGATCCAGAAATGGGCATTAACATTGAACCAATGTAAGGAATTGAACCCGGGTCTTCGGCGTGACGAGCGAACGCTTTAAACGCTAGGCTACCCCACCGCCCCTAAGACAGTTGAACAAATGTAGCTTTGAATACCCTTGTCAAATGAAATGACTGACCTGACGTCCGAATTAAAACTTACAAAAACGTAAAGCTGTGTTGTATTTGACACATGTATTGATATTTGACGTTCATATACATCTAACTGGCACTGGTATCCCATTCGTCCCGTAAAAGCGTCCCTCAGGCGTTTTCGAAAACAATGAACATGGGTACGAATCCCGGTTCGCCCTGATTATGTTTCTATGTTTTCAGCTCCATATCCATGCGCGTGGGTTTCACCTACGTGGTCTAACACCTGCATCACTTCAGGCTTTCCTCCCACATGAAGCTGACACGCCCTGATATAACTGACACACTGTTCAAAGCGGTGTTAAATCAAACTCACTCAGTCACTAACATATATCTCGAAACATGCTATTACCACGAATCGCCCAGGGTGGCCGTGTGATATGTCTGGGCACACGAGCACCGTGCAGTCTATGACGAGGTCGGAGTCCGGATAGCCGGCGAAAATGAAGCCGTACATGGGAGCCCACGCTACATCAACGTCATTAATCGTTTCAGTGGTGAACTGACCGATAACGCCATCCTCCTTTGTGCATCTGTTCAATAAAAAGGCGGGTATCTTACATGACAGTCAGTGATGTCCCCTCTATCAAATACACGTACTCACAACCTCCGTTATGAAACACACGTACTCACAACGTCCCTGCAATAACACACACGTACTCACAACGTCCCTGCTATACAACACACGTACTCACAACGTCCCTGCTATAACACACACGTATTCACAGCGTCGCTGCTATAACACACACGTACTCATAACGTCCCTGCTATAACACACACGTACTCACAACGTCCCTGCTATAACACACACGTACTCACAACATCCCTGCTATAACACACACGTACTCACAACGTCCCTGCTATAACACACACGTACTCACAACGTCCCTGCTATAACACACACGTACTCACAGCGTCCCTGCTATAACACACACGTACTCACAACGTCCCTGCTATAACACACACTTATTCACAATGTCCCTGCTATAACACGCACGTGTTCAAAGCGTCCCTGCTATAACACACACGTATTCACAGCGTCCCTCCTAGAACACACGGCTATCACAATGTCCCTGTTATAGCACACACATACTCACAAGGTCCCTGTATGAAATCCACGTACTCACAAGGCCCCCACTACAAAACAAAGGTATCACAACGTCCCTGCTATTGAACATACATATTCACAACGTCCCTGCTATTAAACATACATATTCACAACGTCCCTGCTATAAAACACACGTACTCACAGCGTCCCTGCTATAAAACATACATACTCACAGCGTCCCTGCTATCAAACACACGTACTCACAACATCCGTGCTATAACACACACGTACTCACAACGGCCCTACTATCAAACACACGTACTTACAACGTCCCTGCTATAAAACACATATACTCACAGCGTCCCTGCTATCAAACACACGTACTCACAACGTCCCTGCTATAACACACACGTACTCACAACGTCCCTGCTATAACACACACGTACTAACAACGTCCCTCCTATCAAACACACGTACTCACAACGTCCCTGCTATAACACACACGTACTCACAACGTCCCTGCTATAACACACGTACTCACAACGGCCCTACTATCAAACACACGTACTTACAACGTCCCTGCTATAACACACGTACTTACAACGTCCCTGCTATAAAACACATATACTCAAAGTATCCCTGCTATAACACATACGTACTCACAACGTCACAAACACACATGCTCTCAATGTCGATGCTATATAACACGCGTGCTGAGAGGACTCTTGCTTTTACACACACGGGTTAACGTATAGGTGTTGCTATGAAACACCCGGGTTCACGTGTAGGTGGTTTTTTTATAAAACACACGGGTTCACATGTTGGTTTTGATATAAAACCAGTGGTTCATTAGTAGGTGTTGCCATAAAACACACTGGTTCACGTGTAGGTGTTGTTATAAAACACACTGGTTCACGAGTAGGTGTTGTTATAAAACACACTGGTTCACGAGTAGGTGTTGCTATAAAACACACGGGTTCACGTGTAGGTGTTGTTATAAAACACACTGGCTCGCGTGTAGGTGTTGCTATAAAACACACGGGTTCACGTGTAGGTCTTGCTATAAAACACACGGGTTCACATGTAGGTGTTGTTATAAAACACACTGGTTCACGAGTAGGTGTTGCTATAAAACACACTGGTTCACGTGTAGGTGTTGCTATAAAACACACGGGTTCACGTGTAGGTCTTGCTATAAAACACACTGGTTCACATGTAGGTGTTGTTATAAAACACACGGGTTCACGAGTAGGTCTTGCTATAAAACACACTGGTTCACAAGTAGGTGTTGTTATAAAACACACTGGTTCACGTGTAGGTGTTGCTATAAAACACACTGGTTCACGAGTAGGTGTTGTTATAAAACACACTGGTTCACGTATTGGTTTTGCTATAAAACACACTGGTTCACGTGTTGTTGTTGCTATAAAACACACTGGTTCATTAGTAGGTGTTGCCATAAAACACACTGGTTCACGTGTTGTTGTTGCTATAAAACACACTGGTTCACGAGGAGGTGTTGTTATAAAACACACTGGTTCACGAGTAGGTGTTGTTATAAAACACGGGTTCACGTTTATGTGTTGTTATAAAAAACACACGGGTTCACGTGTAGGTGTTACCATAAAACACACGGGTTCACGTGTAGGTGTTGCTATAAAACACACGGGTTCACGAGTAGGTGTTGTTATAAAACACGGGTTCACGTTTATGTGTTGTTATAAAAAACACACGGGTTCACGTGTAGGTGTTACCATAAAACACACGGGTTCACGTGTAGGTGTTGCTATAAAACACACGGGTTCACGTGTAGGTGTTGCTATAAAACACACGGGTTCATGTGTGGGTGTTGTTATAAAACACACTGGCTCGCGTGTGGGTGTTGCTATAAAACACACTGGCTCATGTGTGGGTGTTGCTATAAAACACACGGTTTCACGTGTAGGTGTTGTTATAAAACACACGGTTTCACGTGTAGGTGTTGCTATAAAACACACGGCTTCACGTGTAGGTGTTGTTATAAAACACACTGGTTCATGTGTGGGTGTTGTTATAAAACACACTGGTTCATGTGTAGGTAATAGTTTAAAACACACTGGTTCATGTGTGGGTGTTGCTATAAAACACACTGGCTCGCGTGTGGGTGTTGCTATAAAACACACTGGCTCGCGTGTGGGTGTTGCTATAAAACACACTGGTTCACGAGTAGGTGTTGTTATAAAACACACTGGTTCACGTGTAGGTGTTGTTATAAAACACACTGGTTCATGTGTAGGTGTTGTTATAAAACACACTGGCTCGCGTGTGGGTGTTGCTATAAAACACACTGGCTCGCGTGTGGGTGTTGCTATAAAACACACGGGTTCATGTGTGGGTGTTGCTATAAAACACTGGTTCATGTGTAGGTGTTGTTATAAAACACACGGTTTCACGTGTAGGTGTTGTTATAAAACACACGGTTTCACGTGTAGGTGTTGCTATAAAACACACTGCTTCACGTGTAGGTGTTGTTATAAAACACACTGGTTCATGTGTGGGTGTTGCTATAAAACACACGGTTTCACGTGTAGGTGTTGTTATAAAACACACGGTTTCACGTGTAGGTGTTGCTATAAAACACACGGCTTCACGTGTAGGTGTTGTTATAAAACACACTGGTTCATGTGTTGGTCTTGCTATAAAACACACTGGTTCATGTGTAGGTGTTAGTTTAAAACACACTGGTTCATGTGTGGGTGTTGCTATAAAACACACGGCTTCACGTGTAGGTGTTGTTATAAAACACACTGGTTCATGTGTTGGTGTTGCTATAAAACACACTGGTTCATGTGTAGGTGTTAGTTTAAAACACACTGGTTCATGTGTGGGTGTTGCTATAAAACACACGGGTTCATGTGTGGGTGTTGCTATAAAACACACGGTTTCACGTGTAGGTGTTGCTATAAAACACACGGGTTCACGTGTAGGTGTTGTTATAAAACACACGGGTTCATGTGTGGGTGTTGCTATAAAACACACGGTTTCACGTGTAGGTGTTGCTATAAAACACACGGGTTCACCTGTAGGTGTTGTTATAGAACATCAAGTGATTTAATAGTACCATACCTAGCAACCTTGTTTAATATTTTATTTGAAAATGGTTCGTTTCCCGAGTCGTGGTGTACTGGTGTTATCATACATCTGCATAAGAAGGGCGATTACTCAAACCCCAATAACTACCGTGGTATCTCCTTGCTCAGCACTTTTTGTAAACTTTATGTATCTGTACTTAATTCAAGACTTACGTTCTGGTCTGATGCGTATGATAAAATTTGTGACTCTCAAGCTGGTTTTAGGAAAGGTTATTGTACTATTTATAATATATTTATTCTGCAGTCTGTAATCCAGCATTATCTGTCTAAGAAGCGAGGGAAATTATATGTTCTTTTTGTTGACTTTAAAAAGGCTTTCGTTTTTGTAAATAGATTTAAACTATGGCTAGTTCTTAAATCCAGAGGTGTGTCCCCAAAAATGTTAAATACATTAGAATCCATCTATTCCTGTGTTAAAAGCTGTGTTAAGATCAGAAATTGTTTTACAGAATGTTTTGATTGCCCTCTAGGACGTCGGCAAGGCTGCGTAATGAGTCCATTTTTATTTTCTATTTTTATAAACGACTTAGCTTTGTATAGAGAATCAACATGCACTCCAGATATACAGCTACACCCTGACACTGTACAGAATTTTCTATTGTTGTTTGCTGATGATGTTGCATTTATTGCTGATACTGTGTATGGCCTTCAAAAACGCATAAAAGCTCTGGAAAGTGTTTGTAGTAACTATCATCTAACAGTCAACTTGGATAAAACTAAGGTAGTGGTATTTAAAAATGGGGGTATTTTATCAAAATATGAAAAGTGGTATTACAAGGGTCAAAAACTTTAGTATGTAAGTTCTTATAAATATCTCGGTACTATTCTTTCAAAAAAAACTCTCCTGGTCTTTGCATGTTAGTAGTGCTGCTTTACAAGCTAAAAAGGTCCTATATGGTGTCATTAAATCTCTAAAAATGCTTCAACCTCTTCCTTATGACTTGTTTTTCAAAAAGAATTATTCTAAAATATCTCCAATTCTTTTATACGGTGCCGAGATTTGGGGTGTAGATACTTACAAAGAATTTGAGCAAATCCAGGTACTAGCATGTAAACGCTTTCTTGGGGTTAAACAATCTTCTTCAAGTCATGTGGTTAGGGGGGAATGCGGAAGGTATCCTATGTACATATGTGCTTATAAGCGTGTAGTTACTTATTGGTACAGAATTTTACATTTGCCTGAAAATAGTTTAGTTAAGAAATGTTATAGATTATTAGTACTTGATGTTAATAATGGTAAGATCAACTGGGTCTCTAAAATCAAACACATTCTCTATTCGTTTGGTTTTGGCTACATATGGGAGATGCAATTTAGTAATAATAGTAGAAGTTTTATTTCGGAATTTGTAAACCG